AAAACATGCATGACAGAAATGATTGAGAGTGATGCAGGATCCACGATCGTGCAAAAGACAGAGAGAGAGGAAGAGAGAGAGGAAGAAAAATGGTGGAACTTCAGAAAGTGAGATGATTATAGTTGGCTGCTGAAGATACTCAGGTGAAGTGAGGAAGTCAGAGATCATTAATGAGAGGTGAGATCAGTGCTCTGCGAGGTGAGGACAGGTGAAGAGCCTCCCCAATGAAACACAGGATGTTGACTTTAAAAGGTTTATGTCATGAAAATGAAATAAGCAGTCAGCGGTCGTGACTCAGGTTGGATCTCTTAACCTGTGGGCGCGTTGTCGGTTTGTTTTGAAACTGCAGCGTGTTAATGACAGTCTAAAAAACTTGGATACGACTTTATGCTGCGAGGGAGAGTGAGGGCCACGTTAAAGAAAGAAAAAACAGAGATCTAGAAACACATCTTTTTAAAATGACATATTCAGTCTGATCATCCGTTCTCAAAAATCCCCTTCAAATTCAAATGTGTCTTTTTCATATTCATTTCATCAATGTCTTGTTACTTGTTGTTTTTATTTCTGCTTTGTAGGTGACCATGAGTGCTGAAAAAGGAGCCTTAAAAATAAAATGTATTATTATTATGTCAGACGCAAAGGAGAAGAAGCAACATGTTGGCATGTCTTTAACTTCGCTGACCTGAAGATCACGAGTGAGGTTTAACAAAGATGAGTCATAAATTGTCTGTACTTGATTGTAGTCAGGAAAAAAGTCTCAGCCGGGACAATTCTGCTACAAACAAAAAGTGTTGATTTTATTGAGAGTGAGCTGCAGAATAAGGAAGAGGACGGTTTTGTAAGAAGGGTTTCAGATAGGAAGAGGTGTGCGCTGCGGTTGCTGCAGAGTTTCTCAAGTTTGTCTTTTTATCAAAGAAGAAGTGAATCAAAGTTTCTTGAGGTTTTAAGTGGAATGCAAACAGGATATGATATGACTGACTGTGTGGCTCTGTGGGTCTAAAAACAGAACATTTCATACTGAGAAGGAGAGGAGTGTGTTGCAGACCTGTGGCGGTGCAGCAGTTTGAAGCTCTCAGGGCTCATGGGGCTGTGGGAGGCCAGGATCCCTCTGGGTGTGTTTGCTCCTGACCCGGCTTTGTCCAGACCAGGCAGACCCTGTAAGGCCACATAGAAGCACTGCTCTGAATATTCACACTGCCCTACCATGACTGCACGAGTCATGTGTGTTTGAAGCTAGTTTTCAGAATGAACAGACACGTGTGTGATCATGAGTATAGTTAAAAAAAAAGACTTAAAGCTGCTTTAATGATTGGTCAGTTTTTGTCTGCCCAAAGAGGTGAAATGATCAAAGTTGAGAAGTTCAGATTCCTCAGTGACACACTTTGTTCCTCTTTGAAGCTGTTCACTATCTGGAGATCCTCCAGGAGCGTGAACAACAGAAGGAATCCTCTCTAAGACTCAACGTTACTTTATCTTTAAATAATCAGGAAGAGCTTTTATTTCTGAACCTGTGCGTGTGTTTCTCACTATGTTTCCTTTTTAAAAGCTTTGACCAACATAAGAGAAATAGGTTTTCCTGCACTACATGGCACAGGCTGCTCCTCATCATCTGGAACTGATCGTCAGCTTCTTGTGCAGGGGACGCATTTCAGGGTGCACCAGCTTCTCGTGCACGGCCAGGCGACTCCCAGGACGTGAACCTGACGGAGACAACACATCATTCAACAGTTGGCCAGTTTACGATGTGAAACCTTTGATCAATAGATATAAAAACTGAGTCTTTGAAAAACTATCTGTGCCTCTGAGAGCAGCTTAAACAAGAAGTTTAGTAAAGACAGTGAAGGTCAATTTTAAACGTCTTGTGTTTGAAAGATGCTGCATACATCCGACGTGATCATTCAGAGAGATCAATAAGACACTCTGACTCCTAGTGTTTAAAATGTGTACTGCAGTCTAAATTCTAAACTCATAGAGAGCTGTCCCCCCCCCCCTCCTCTCTAGAGTGGATGTTCACTCAGGTCACCATGTGGTGGACTCTGAAGCTTCAGTGTTTATCCAGCTCTGCATGGGTCTGTAAACCTTTCTGTGTTCTAACTCTCTCCATTTTTCAAAAGCATCTCCAATATTGATCCTAGTTTGAGCACGTTTCTGCTCGTGGAGCTTATTAGAACATGCAGAGGCTTTTTAGGTCGGGTACAATCACTTCTATCTGAACCACTTCTCTTGACCGCTTCCATCGCTGCAACACCTGTTGACCTGATAACTGCTCTCATATTGACAAACCGAGGGGCGTCCAAAACGGCCGTGGGGGGGGGGGGTCTTAAAAGCGCCTACCTTCTCTGGTCCAAACAAATCCAGAGCATTCAGGAGCAGAATCTAAATTAGAAGGAGGACATACTGGCTGCTGCATTGTTGTCAGAGAAGCCAGCACTTCAACATAGCATGTTTCCTTAATGATCGAGAGTAAGATACCTTTATCATCTCACTCTCTACACATCTCACTGATTGGACCTTTAACTTTGCAGTGTCAGTTACCTTTTATCTATCCTCTACACTGTGTGGTTCATGAGGACTTCCTGTTGGAACAAAAGCCTGTGAAGAGCAGATCGTCTCACCTGCTCCTGCATCAGGTCTTTGAGCTGTGTGATCTTCTCTGTGTCTTCAGGATGGTGGTGATGTACTCCTTATCAAAGAAAGCCTAGAGAAGAAAGACTCATTATCATCAGATGATCCAGTAAATAAACATGCGTCCAAACGTCCTGTGAGTCCTCTCTGTCTTATCGAGAGAAATGTCTGAGCTGCCAGAGGAGGAATAAAAGTACAGCCTCTGCTCACCCATTCACCCCGACTGATGAGTGCATCAGGTACCGTCATGCTAAACCACAGCAGGTACACATGTGGTGGACTAAACTAACTTCTTGTCCTACCTCTTGGTATCTGGCGATGCCTCCGTTGACGGCGGCGTCGATGACTCCGTTGAGCGTCATGCTGAGCAGGTTGATGTTTCCGTGCAGCTGCTTGTGTTGGTACTGACTGATCAGAGTGCGCAGCTCCTGGTTCTTATTCTCCACCCAAGAGGCGTTCTCTAACGGACTCACCTCCAGCTAGGTGAAAAAACGACGGGTCAAAGTGAGAGAGTGAATCATCTGAGCACGGTCACATAAAAACAACATAATAAATATTTATTCTTCACTGATATACATATCGATCCATCTTCTCGTCTTTAACCTGAAAATCCACCTGAGGCCTCTTTGATACGCCGACACGGGAGGGAAGTGTTCTTTCCGGTTGAGTTTGCACAGGAGCAACACGAGGGAGACTGTGTGGTAATCAGGGCGCTGCTTTTTCTTTTTAAAGGTATTTTTGTGTCTTTATTAGATCGGACAGCTGAACAGAGACAGGAAATGTTGGGAGGAGAGAGTTTAGAGACGACATGCAGCAAAGGGCCGAGGTCAGATTCAAACCAACCCCCGCTGGGACGAGGACTATAGACTCTGTATGGGGCTAACGACACAACTGCTCGGCTATCTGGCGCCCCCTGGGTGTTGTATTTTTTTAAGGCCGGTGCTGAGCAGTGTTGGGACTAACATGTTTCTGTAACGTCATGAATATTTACGGTAACAAGTAACAAATTAGTTAATTTCCAGATTCATCAACGCCGTTTCAATTACGTTACTTAAGGCTACGTGAAACAGCTGCCAACAGCGGCAGATTAAGGTTTGTTAACATGTACTCTGTGGGCGAGGATACGCTAACGTCAGCACGGTAACTTCCTGTGAGAAAGAAGGTTAGTGAACAAACACAGGTGATCATTCAGCCGCGAGCTTTCTTTTATTTTTTTTTCAAGATTTATTTTTGTGCCTTTAATTGAACGATCGGACAGTGGATAGAGTTGGAAACCAGGGAGAGAGAGAGGACAGTGGATAGAGTCTGAAACCAGAGAGAGAGAGAGAGGACAGTGGATAGAGTCAGAAACCAGAGAGAGAGAGGACAGTGGATAGAGTCAGAAACCAGAGAGAGAGAGAGGACAGTGGATAGAGTCAGAAACCAGAGAGAGAGAGAGAGGACAGTGGATAGAGTCAGAAACCAGAGAGAGAGAGAGAGGACAGTGGATAGAGTCTGAAACCAGAGAGAGAGAGGACAGTGGATAGAGTCTGAAACCAGAGAGAGAGGACAGTGGATAGTCAGAAACCAGAGAGAGAGAGGACAGTGGATAGAGTCAGAAACCAGAGAGAGAGAGAGGACAGTGGATAGAGTCAAAACCAGAGAGAGAGAGGACAGTGGATAGAGTCAGAAACCAGAGAGAGAGAGGACAGTGGATAGAGTCAGAAACCAGGGAGAGAGAGAGGACAGTGGATAGAGTCTGAAACCAGAGAGAAAGAGAGACAGTGGATAGAGTCTGAAACCAGAGAGAGAGAGGACATGGATAGAGTCTGAAACCAGAGAGAGAGAGGACAGTGGATAGAGTCTGAAACCAGAGAGAGAGAGGACAGTGGATAGAGTCAGAAACCAGGGAGAGAGAGGACAGTGGATAGAGTCTGAAACAGAGAGAGAGAGGACAGTGGATAGAGTCTGAAACCAGAGAGAGAGCGGACAGTGGATAGAGTCAGAAACCAGGGAGAGAGAGGACAGTGGATAGAGTCAGAAACCAGGGAGAGAGAGGACAGTGGATAGAGTCAGAAACCAGGGAGAGAGAGAGGACAGTGGATAGAGTCAGAAACCAGAGAGAGAGGACAGTGGATAGAGTCAGAAACCAGAGAGAGAGAGAGGACAGTGGATAGAGTCAGAAACCAGGGAGAGAGAGAGGACAGTGGATAGAGTCAGAAACCAGAGAGAGAGGACAGTGGATAGAGTCAGAAACCAGAGAGAGAGAGCGGGGAACGACATGCAGAAAGAGGCCACAGGTGGAAGTGAACCCGGGCCTCCCGCTCGAGATGAGAGTCTCAATACATGGGACGCGCGCCCTAACCATTGCACCACCAGCGCGCCTCACAAACTAA